AATTAGGTTCAGTTTTTGAACTTAAATGGTGTGTTGCAAATGGTTATTTTAAATGGTTTGAGTTACCTTCACTTATTGGGTTTTACAGTGTTGTTAAATGTTAATTTGACGATTTGACTGTGGTAAACACATAGCAAAGAGCTTAGAATCACCAAAAGACGACACTCTATTGCTATTTGTGAAACAGCCACTAGATGCCACTTATGTCACGGCTCGGCCATTTTGGAATGAAAATTCCAATAGGAAATCCGCACACATAAATAACATTAGACAGTCTGAATTAAAATGTTAAGTTAAATATGAGTTAAAATGAGTACATCCCCTTTGAAGAGTAACATTCTAAAACAATATCGCAATGAAAACAGACAAATTCGAACATGTTGGCAAAACTAAGTTTAATTCATTCATTCATTTTCTTGTCGGTTTAGTCCCTTTATTAATCCAGGGTCACCACAGTGGAATGAACCACTAACTATTGCAGCACGTTTTTACGCAGCAGATGTCCTTCCCGCCATAACCCATCTCTGGGAAATATTCACACACACTCATTCACACACACTCATACACTACGGACAATTTAGACTACCCAATTCACCTGTACCGCATGTCTTTGGACTGTGGGGGAAATCAGAGCACCCAGAGGAAACTAACACAAACGCAGGGAGAACATGCAAACTCCACACAGAAACGCCAACTGAGCCGAGGATCAAACCAGCGTCCTTCTTAATGTGAAGCGTCAGCACCATTTACTGCGCCACTGCGTCACAAGTAAAATACATCTGATTTCTATTATACATATGATATACTTCATATATAACATAAAAGTAAGGTTAACAAAATGACTTAATTACTTTTTTTGTTTTACTCAAATTAGGGTGAAGGAAAAATGAGTATGCACAACAAAAACTACATTATCTGGTAGTTTGTACGGCCTCCGTGATTTTTAATATGTATTTAAACATATGTGTTTAATATATATTTAATATATATATATATACATTTTGGAGAAAGTATCTTTTTTTAAATAAAAACGTTATTAGTCTTTTTAAACAGAGAACACTGGAAACAATACTATGTACTATTATAATATAATACTCAAACAAAAAGTACGGTTAATCGTTATCAACATCCCATTTTAAACGTCATGTTAATTTAATTTAACATGTCAGTATTATATATTATGCCAGTGCTTAAACTATTAAATTAAAGCAATTTCACCTAAATGTGACAGTTTCAAGAAAACATTCATTCATTAATTTTCTTGTCAGCTTAGTCCCTTTATTAATCTAGGGTCGCCACAGCGGAATGAACTGCCAACTTATCCAGCAAGTTTTTACGCAGCGGATGCCCTAGTTTCAAGAAAACAAGTATTGTTAATATATTAAACTTTAAGTCAGTAAAATAAACTATTAAAAGTGCTGATGATCACCATTATATGATAGTAAGTGTTGTATTGTCGCCTTTCAGGTTGTATTTCAGCTTTGATGCACTTTTTAAATAAATAAATTAAAAAACAAAGCAGCTGCTTGCCATAGCGACAGCAATAAGATCCAATGGACGGCCGATCGCTTTCACTCCAGAATGGCGGAATTGCTGGGCGCTGCTGTTTCAATGGAATGTTCTATTGAGTGTCGTCTCTTGCTGATTTTAAGCTCTTTGCGCATAGCCTGAAATGAGATGAGACAAAGTCATTTATACAGTTTTTATTTTGTAAATTTTTGTGCACAAAGTTGTTCTTGGAGCTTTTGAATGATCACAGTTGAATATGGTCTGTTTTGATGATATTGTTGGTTCCTTTTCTGCACTTTGAATGTCTCACATCCATTGCTGTCTATGGAGGATGAGAGGGGTCTCTGATTTCATGTAAATATGTTAATTTGTGTACCAAAGATGAACAAAGATCTCCAGAGTTTGGAATTACATGAGGTTGAGTAATAACAGATTTTTGTGTGTGTGTGAACTAATCCTTAAGATCTGGGTAGATCAGATGGTAAGCAAACAATCAGGTTTCATCAACATGCTGGATTCAGGGAATGAAGGTATCCTGGTTGCAGAAGTAGGGAGAAATACTTGAGTGACCATGACTAAGGCTAAATTATTATGACAACATGACTTGGTCAGAGTATTTCTGAAATGGATATGCATTTCAGTTGTGCTTGGTCAGCAGTGGTGAGAACAGTGGTCTGAGGAGGGCAAACCACAATCCGGTCACAGGAGTTGGTGATGCAAGGCTCATCAATGCATGAGTATGACAATTTGGTCAATCCCATTTAGTTCTAGCCAATAAAAGTTCTACTGTGGTATGGTCACACAATATCTTGATGATTATGGGACACATCAAATGGTGCATTGCACTTTTCTGCATATGGGGCTGTGCAACCATAGGCCAATAAGAGGCCTATGATGACCCCTGTCCCCCATCCTATGCATCTACAATAAGCATGAGAGTGTCGAAACTAGACATTGGAGCAGTGATAGAGTGTTGCCTTGTATAATGCATACTGTTTTCTTTTACATCAAACTTTCCAACCACATATTGTTATGCACATTTTGGAATAGCGCATACAAATATGCTTGATGGAAATGCCAAGATGCACATACATTTTTGAAAATGTGCATAAAATACTTATGATCACAACACATGATAAACTTTCTGGAGGATAAATTTTCTATCTGATAAGCAAAAAAACAAACCTAAACTATGATGGAAACAATTTTACCTAATAAATTCTAGTATGCACATAAAAAAAAAGTTTATCTTGTGATGATAAAAATGGGCGCAATGGGACAGCTAGACAAACTAATGGATATAAAATGTTGCTTGGTCATTCTAAAATGCCTTATTCAATGCTCATCATTAAATTGGTTCCACATTATTACCTTCAGAACTGTCTTGAGTGGCTGCTTTTTGATATTTGATGCAGGTTTATCAGGAAGGGACAATTTTGTTCTCTTTGACTCATTTCGGAAGGATGTGCTGGGAGACAATTACTGCATTGCCACTGTCATGCCTAAAATGAGTAAGTCAGTGCGTGTGTGAAGACTTGCGTTTCCAATTAAAATCAATTCAATTCATCTTTATTTCTATAGCGCTTTTATAACATAGATTGTGTCAAAGCAGCTTTAACATAGAAGCTCTAGTAAATTGGAACTGCTTCAGTCCAGTTTTGAAGTTCAGTACTGTCTCCACAATAACTTCCAGTGCCCTGTTAGGGCTTCATTGAAGCCAATGGTTGGGCTTTTGCCAATTTCCTCAGTTTTGCTCGTAATAAGGATGGATTAAAATACATTGTTACTAATCTTGGGAAGCTACAAATTCAACCCACAAATGGAAAAAAGGTGCAGGCACATTAAAAAAGCTACCAAGATTCACAATGGTCAGAATGAAAATTCCCTTGGTTTGATATTGTGGATAACATGAAGAGTCATTGCCCCTTCATTAGAGGAGAGACCACTCGGGACACAATGCCAACTGTGTAAACAGATTGATAGAAAGATAAACAGATCGAGAAATAGATAATTTAATGCTGTAGAGTTACATGTAATTTGTTTGCTTCCATTGTCTCCATCTTGATTGTTTTGTGATAATGCAATACTTTACCTTTGTGATTCTGATTTGACCTTCTTCCTGCTGAACTGAATGGGTTTTGTGACATTTGATTTAGGGACATACTTAATTCGGCATGATTTTGGCATCACTGCTTAAGCTCTGGGGCTATTGGCCCCAGCCAGCCCAATGAAAATCTTGGCTTGCACTGGCATAACAGAGGAAAAGTGGCTGTTGACAAGCCAGAAGAGGAAGTGTAATGCTCTGGCCAATGTTTTGCTGGATAACCCTGGGTCTGGACATTGAAGATGTCATTTTGACACATAGAAGCTCCACAATTGTTTGCAGACCAAGTGCTTCTCTCCATAACAATAGTGTTTCCTGGTGGAAGTGGCCTATTTTAGCACTGCACGCTGCGCATATTGAGCAGGAATTGTTTGAAGAACAGGATGGACAGTTTAAGGTGTTGGTCTGGCATGCTATTCCCAAACAAAGCATCTGCGGAACATGCAGGATCAACAAGATGATGGGTCTACCTCAAAACTTACAGGGTCCTTAAAGGATCTGCTGCTTATATATTGGTGCCAGATACCACAGGGTACCTTCAGGGGTCATTGTCCATTGTCATACTGCAAGAAAACATACATACAGCAACGAAGTTCGCAACTCAAAAGCCTCATTCCCACTACAAACGACTCGCAGCAGCAAAGCGACAAGCACCGCTCATTTGAATGTAAAGTTAGTGACTTCCAGCAATCTCCGTCTACGCGAGCGACAGCATCCATTGGCGACCAGGTGGGCGTGTCGAGCAACGCGACAAAGTTGTGAATCCTTCAACTTTATGCAAATGAAAAGTGACTTTCTTGAACGACAGCCAATAGGAGCACCAGTAGAGCTCTCGTGATCCTCTCTCAGCTTGCTTAGAGGCCAGTTGTGGTCTGTGTGCTGTAGACCTGCACTAGTGGTGCTCAACCCTGTTCCTGGAGATCGACATTCCTGCAAAGTTCAGCTCCAACCCTGATCAAACACGCCTGAACCAATTAATTAGGACCTGAACAGCACTTGATAATTACAAGCAGGTGTATTTGATATGGGTTGCAACTGAAATCTGCAGGGAGGTCGATCTCCAGGAACAGGGTTGGTCACACCTGACCTACACAGACCTGAGTTTGCAGCAGGTTGCTACCTAGAGCCACAGGCAGCTACAAAGTCGCTGCTAGTGTAAATGGGGCGTCAAACCTCCCGCAGCTAACATTATGTAGTTCTATATTCAGTTATAATAAAATAATTTTAATTTTATGTTGACATTTTAATTAAAGGCTTGAATTAACAAGACATTGCAGTACTTTTCTGGCTGCATCTAATAGGTTGGCTGTAATAACATTGTAGTATTTTTTTTCCATTTACACATTCCAGCTAATGTAGTTTAGAGAGATAAAAGCAGACACCTTCATTTTTTTTAATATGGCTTAGACCTCTTTAATCCATGGTCGTCCTCCGTTAGTTAAACACCTGAAATGGGCCTTATTGGCCATTACAAAGGTGAACGTCACAACGAAAATGGCACTGTTTGGTAATACTTCTCGGTAATGAAACCAGAATAGAAACCTAAGATATTACATGATGAAACGAAGCAAAACATTCAAAACAGAGATGTCAAATGTAAACATCAAATAATCAAACCGTGAACAACTTCTGCAACAACAAAAAAATGAAATTAAAAAAGTGTTGAGTTACATTTCTGGTTAATGTCACTTCATGTAATCCTCTATGTGTCAAATTGCATTCACGATAAATCATTTACACACGTTACACGTAATACAATCCGACAAAGACAAGATGAGTAATCAAAAACAAAATGATAAGTGAATAAAAATATAAATAGATGGATTAAAAAAAGTTAAGATTTCTCCCAACCATGCAAGTTAAATACAGAGGTGCAGCAGTGCAAATCTCCACTATGTTGTCCAGCAGAGACATCACCGGCCCGGGTCAAAACGAGACTTCTTCTCAAATCTGTCCGCACAACCTCTCAGAAAAAGGCTGGATTGGTATGTTCGATGATGCAGCGTTTGCAGTGGCGTTTGACGAAGCGCAGCGCCTCCAGTGACACGTCGCAGTCCTGTACATTCAGCAGCTGAAGGTCGAAGCAGTTGGCTGCCACCACCTGTAGCCCACGGCCTGTGATGCTCTCGCATGACTTCAGGCTTAGTCTTTTCAGGTTGAAGGAGTTCAGTGCAAGCTGCTCCAGGCCAGCGTCCGACACCAGTGGGCACTTCCCAATGTCTAGAGATTTGAGCTTGAGGCAGCTCTTGGCCAGGTGCTCGATGCCGTGGTCTGTCAGGCCCTCGCAGCCTCGAGCGTTCAGGTAACGCAGTCTACTGCAGTACTTGGCCACGTAACGAACACCCACGTCTGTGATGCGACTGCAGTGCGCTATGCTGAGGTACCGCAGGCGGCCCTCTAGTTTCGCAATCTCCCGCAGACCAAAGTCACTGATAAAGCGGCAGTCGCTAACGCTGAGCTCCCGCACGCCGGGACAGTAGATGACCAGGAATCGCAGGCCCTCATCGGTTAGGCGCACGCAGCGCCGCAGGTACAGGTGGGTGAGCTGAGTGCAGTGGGCTGCGATGGTGTGCAGCCCTTCATCTTCCAATGCGAAACAGTCTGTCATGTCAAGAAAGCGGATGGAGATCTGCTGGCCGTGAAGCGGGGAGAGTTTTACTGACACATCCCGAGTCAGGCTGATGCAGGTCACTTTAGAACAACCTGCAGAGAGAAGGATATCAGATCAAAGTGTATCACTGAAGAAAGGGAGATATACATGTTTGTATTTAAAAACTATCCCTTTTAAAGAATGTTTCATTCAAAAAAGAAAATGTCCTCTCCATTTAGGCCCAATCCCAATACTTTTTTTGTACCTCTACCCCTTCATCTTGGCCCTTGAAACAGAGTGTGAGGGGGAAGGGCTTCAAAATTTACCTCTAAGAAATAAGACAGCATAAAACCTTCACACGTCATCATATGTCATCGCGATCTCTTGTTCATATGAGATTGACGATCATGACTGCTGTAGTTTTTGCAGCTATATATTCATCTTCAGGAAATCACTGAATATATCAAAACGATATAACTTGGCAATAAGATCGTAACTGTATTGTGCATTTACACAGTGGCCATGTTCATCTATGTAAATACACAAAAACAACATTATAGCAGACACTGTAAAAGGTCATTCCCAGCCACTAGACTTTTCTTACAGGGGATTCGAGCGTCATTGAGTGTCAGAATGTTGTGGGACTGCTGTGCAGGAGTTAATGTTTTGGATTATAGATAGCGAAACTTAGCGGTTTTAATTTTAAACAACGAACATGGTTATGAATTTATTGAAACATGCTTATTTGGTGTAAAAAATTTTAATAATGACCAAAAATACTAATTTGTGTATCTCCTGACTTCCGTGTGCAGCTATGCTGCCGTTGTAGATGGTGTTTTCTGGGAAATCTTTGTATCCTTTGGTTTCGAGTGTGGTCCTGAAAAATCTCAGTTTTGAGGGGTATCTAGCCCTTCCCCTCAGCCCTAAGCCTTCAAGCTAAAGAGAATTGGAACACAACTATCTCCTCACGTGAACGTGCAAAATGAGGGGCAGGGCCTTACATTTTTATTTGTAGGGCCAAAAACCTATTGAAACGTATTAACTTGATTGAGAGCAGTGAGCTAATGTTAAGCCAAACTTTATTAAAGTTGCCATTGGTGATTTCCTAATTTATTTCATATTTAAAAATGTAAAAAAATAAATAATATATATATTTTATAATTCGATTTATAACAGAATGGAGTTACATTAGTCAAGCTGCACCTGTTCTTTGCCTTGATTTGCTCAGCAATATCTTCTGCATTGTGCTCTATCCATTGTGTGAAAGTATTTATATTTTTAAAAATCAGATTCATTTACAGCATTTAAATGAAGCATTTATTTTTGGTTTGCTTTTTTGTAGCTCAGAAATAAAAGAAACAAAAAAGTTACGGTAAATTAGAAATTATGATCTCTGTTAAAGGCATTCGCCCCTACCCTCACCATAGCTCTTACTTCTCATGTGGGATGGAGGGCCAAATCAAAGATTACCATGAGACAACTTTGGGCCCTAGTTTGGACTTCTCTGTTCTAAATGTTTATAAATTTCTCTCTTTTCTGTTGAACACAAAACAAGATATTCTGAAGAATGTTTGGATAAATTTGACATCCACAGTAGGAACAAAAAATACTAAGGCAGAGAAAATGTGAGTGTTCTGTATACTGTTTATTATACTGTTTCATTTTAATATAAGTGCCTATAAATTAAATGCCATAAAAGCTATTAAACAACTTTTTAAATATTTAATTTATAGGCGTTTATATCAAAAGTAAAAATATAATTCATAATTCAATAGGTCATTCAATTCAATGGTAATATATAGTTTCACGAGTATATGATAGGGGGCGCTTTTATGCATTTTCTGTAATATTACAGGACCTCAGTATACAAAATCTTGCAAAGAAGAAAACAGTGTCTAAGGCATTGCTTGTGCACATGCATGCTAACGTGATCGAAAGAGGAACATGACTGTGCCAGATTTGGGTGTATTGATGAGGTCAATATACTCAGTCTATGTTTTGACCATCAATCTGTATCTGTATTGTAGTTTGGATTTTTGGAACTTTTTTCCACAAATTGTTATTATATTTTAAAATGAAACCCATTTAATGTGTTAATAAACACAGATGAGTCTGTTGATATATTTAATATCTTGATATAAAGATCAGGTGTAAGTGTATCATTTTCATTTGTAACCCCGCCGGTCCTACTCGAACTGGAATTGAACGGGCGACCTTCAGCATTGGAGTCGGTTGCTCTAACAAGGCAGCTAAAGACCATCCGTCTGTTGCTAGAGCACCTTTTAGAGGTCAGAGGAGTGATGTTTACCTGCACAGCACTTCAATAGCTGGCCTCCATTACACATACACTCAGAATATGTTTTTGGTGCCTGTTCAAACTAGTTTAAAATGAGTTGAATCAACACAATCCTTGAGTTCTTTTGGGGACAACTTAATTGTTTTATGTTCAATCCACTTAAATTTGTAAACACATTTAAGTTAACTTAATCCATTTGTGTTGGGACAACATAAAGAAACTGTTTGACAGTTCCCAGCACTTTTTGTACAGTATAAATAAATAAATTTATGAATGTGAAGTTATAACAGATTAGTATACAATTATTAACTAGACAAGTAGAGTTCGTAGACTAACTATATCGTGTCTTGAGAAAGCCTAGTCTGAAAGTTTACAGTAGCTTTATCGTTTAAGTAGTTTGACATTGAAGTAGTTTTTAAAAAGCTTGAAACAGTCATAACTACATACAGGTTAGCATGTTTCTAGCACGGATTGGGATTTTTCTTGCTAGACCAGAGGTGTCCAAACTCGGTCCTGGAGGGCGGTGTCCTGCATAGTTTAGCTCCAACTTCCTTTAACACGCCTGTGAGTGTCTAGTATACCTAGAAAGAGCCTGATTAGCTGTTTCAGGTGTGTTTAATTGGGGTTAGAACTAAAATATGCAGGACACCAGCCCTTCGGAAACCGAGTTTGGTCACCCCTGTGCTAGGCTGTTGATAGAGGGTTTTAAGTGGTTGCTATGATGTTCTGAGTAGGGATGTCCTGATCCGATATTGATATCAGAAATAGGTCCAATATCAGTCCAAAAAACTATAACGGACTGCGTTAAAAAATCTCAAATATAAGCAGTCCGATTCAGCTATTCTATCCAGCAGAATATCTACTCCGTTACAGCTATTATATTCAGTAGGCGTCCAGAGCCAGCGTGCAAAGCCCACGTGATCACAACACTGCTTGCTAGCAAAGTCCCTTTAGGATTTAACATGCTCTTCACACTAAGTTATGGTGTATTACGTTGGGAATCTATTGTGAGGGTAGCACACGCTGAAGCTATTAACAACGGCACATTTTTACAGGTTGATTTAATATCGTAATATTTGTTCTTTGATTATTTTTTATATATTCTTATGTAAAATTTATGCAACCAATAGTTAATAAATTGGTCGTTTATTTTCGTACTTGCTGTTGCTGACTTTTGTTCTCAGTTTGATCTAGCCGTTAATACATTTTACTCAACGAAATCGGTAAAAGTAAAGTATTCATGATTTGTGCTGATATCGGATTTATATCGATATCGGTTGTTACTGAAGGCTGCAATATCGGTATCGGAAGTTAAAATGTTGTATCGGGACATCCCTAGTTCTGAGTAGTTGCTTAGGTGTTGCTAGTGAGTTGTTAAGCCTCCTTTCCACTGCACACTGCGGCGGCCCGGTTCTGTGTGCGTGAGAAACTCCACAGACTCGAGTTCTCTGCTGCTGCCCACAGAGACGCGCTGGACATCTGACTTTGGTAGTAGCTTTGAGAAGAGCGCGAGGACACGCGGAGAAGAAAAGCCTTCTACTAAATAGACTGATCTGCTCATTATTTAAGGTGACAATACATCCTCTTTTCCCGGTCATGTGCTCTATGTGAGACTTAAAAATGCATTCAGCCAGGATTTCTAAATCACCTAACATGTCCCGGATTCTGCTTTCGCTTTCTATAGCTGTCATGTAAAAGGTGTTAAATGCTAAACATTTTTGGTATTACTTTCGAGCAGAAGGAAAATTTAATTAGAGGCATTTTCATATTTAACTCTTCTTTAAAAAGCCCAGAAAGATAAAGTGCTCTGATAAACAGTGGCAGCTTTGCACATGAGTTTGCAGTTCTGTCTTTATTTACATAGTCATACTTTTCCCATGTGGGCAGTAAGGTGGAATCTGTGCAATATATTATGCATATAAAGTGAATTTTGATAAATAAAATAATTCTTAAAAGTCACAATATTTTATTTGCTGTGGAGAAAATGTGTGTTTCAAAAAAGCTACTGCAAGTATATTTATGTTAAAGATAATATGTGCAATATATATTATTATAAAATTAATAAGGTTTTGTTTGAGAATATTGATACAGCCATAATCTTCTTGATACAAACACAGATTAAACTGCTCTGGTCATGTGAATGTTTGTACTAACCATACTGTACATTTTTTAACTTAACAATAACTTATAACAATAACTCCTTACTTCTGCTGCCCAGTGTGAAAGATATTTTTAAGCTCGAAACTGGATCTAAAATTCATCAAAAAGCTGTGTGTGAAATTGAAACTTTGGACACTCAATCTTTAGCAGTTATTCAGTTAACAATATTTTTTTCTTATGTTCCTGCTGTCAGCTGTTTCTACCATTTGCTGATGGTAAAAAATAAATAACTGAAGTGACCTTTAATTAGTATTTTGCACTATTTTTCAGGGTCGTAATATTTGTTCTTTAATTATTTTTTATATATTCTTATGTAAAAGGTTCACATTTATGCAACCAATAGTTAACAAATTGGTCGTTTATTTTCGTACTTGCTGTTGCTGACTTTTGTTCTCAGTTTGATCTAGCCATTAATACATTTCACTCAACGAAATAGGTAAAAGTAAAGTATTCAAGATTTGTGCTGATATCGGATTTATATCGGTATCGGTTCTTACTGAAGGCTGCAATATCGGTATCGTATCAGAAGTTAAAATGTTGTATCGGGACATAGTTCTGAGTAGTTGCTTAGGTGTTGCTAGTGAGTTGATAAGCCTCCTTTCCACTGAACACGACAAGCGACAAACCGGAAGTCATTAATTTCCAATAGAGAGTAGT